ATTTTCTTAATTTTCTTGTGAGCAGGATAACTTGTGTATACGTGGATGGAAGTTAATGAAATTTAATAGGCATGTTACTGTGGTGGTCACCAAGATTAAGTTCAAAGATGAGAGTCGTGGGGGTCGATAAGTCCCCGTAATAGACCTTTCGTGTTTGTTCGTTTCTTTGTTTGTAGTTCAAGTTCCAATGTGGCATTAGTCTAGATTTTTGTATGGTGTATAGGTATAGTGATATAGATTTAGTGTTGTAAGTTTGAACTCTTTTGTTCTATAGGAATGTGGAAAAGAAGTTATATTGTTTTTTTGTTGTTGTTCTGGTGTTGTCTTCTATACACATGTAGGTCAACGACCTTATGGCCATTGGGCGGTACAAGCAAAACAGCTGTCAGCTATCCATGTTATTTGTATACTATTTGGTATTCAGTTTTCTGTCCCTAGCTCCTTTTTTCTTCTATTGGTTGGTTATAGGCAGTAAGCCTCGTTTGCATAGGATATTTGTGCTTTATATAAGTGTTGTGTGTTCGATGAGCTAGGTTACAGTTCTCAACAGTATTTCGTTAATGGTGGAGATTCCTTGGATTTCTGTGTGGAGACCTCAACTATCATGACTATACGGTATGTGATTATTTTTTCCCTTTCCTTACATTAGTTGCGTATTCCAATAGTATGTTTTGCGTACAAATAGTGAAACGTCAAGTCGTCGGCGTTACTTTGCTTCGCAAAATGTAGGATAATGCGTTATGGAATGTCAAAAAAATCCAAATTTCCCGGCGGTGCATTTTCCGGACCCGCTTATTGCTCGCGCTTCGGCGCCGGCGCCCGTATGCCCCCTTGCGTAGGCGTTCACACATTTGGGGATCAGGCCTGGTGGGAAACAATTAGTCTAGTGTAAACTTGTTGTCTTCGTCAGAAAGACTATGGAATTGTCTCGCCGTATTGTGGGTGACTGTGGAATTAGCGGAATAACTCTTGAAGGCATAATTCGATGTCCATGATTTTTGGCAGGCAGATAACCATTGTTAAGGCCGACGTCATGTACAAGTTTGGGCTTCGTGGGGGGTCCGTACGTCACTGCAGTGGACCTTTTGTGTTTGTAGCATGTTAGCAAAATAACTCAAGTATATTTAAATACTAGTAGATAGTCATGATTTTTGGTAGGCAAGGTACCATTGTAGGTGCCAAGGTTAAGTTTGAAAACGGGCCTCGTGGGGGGTCCATAAATCGCTGCAGTGGACCTTTTGTGTTAGATATATAATGATCTTCCCCACCAACCTCTGTTTTGATTCAGATGGGGGACAGCTGGTCCCCTCATCTGGGATCAATTGCTTACAATTGAGGGGCGGTCCTATAAATACTGTCATGGAGGGGGAGGAAAAGTTGGACATGTGTCAGGTCATTCCCTAAATTGTAAGGCCAGACCAAGTAATTTTATGGATGACGTCCACTGGAGACCTTAAATTTATTGCAAAAGTAGGATGAAATACATGAAGGGCCAAAAAAACTGATTACGATGCATAGATTTGGAATATACTTACTGTTTAAATACAAAGATTAGGACGCAAATTGAATAAAAGAGCATAGTGTAACAACAAACGAAAACAGCAATAAATCTCCCCTGTTTTGATTCTTTCCTTTCATCACATCTTCTTTTTGCGACACTGTCGTGACACTCTGATCATAATACAGTAAGCAGAATTTTTAGTAATTTTTCCAGTAACAGTCCAAAATCAAATAACTTAGGGGGCCTAAAACGGTGACAGTGCATCTGTGTAACAGTTCCAGAGATTCTTTTGTACTCTGTACTCTGACGAAGACATGTGATCTCCGACCTCTAGTTGTAATATTGTTTTGTTCATCCTCACAACAAAAGAGCAGTCACTACAGCTTAGGTGCGTAACGGGAATCTTTTCTTCTCTTTAGTTTAATATTGTTTAGCGTTTCGTGTTTCGTTCATGTTCATTCTCACAACAAAAGTGCAGACGTCACTATATGGACCAAGTGCTTACAAAGAAGCTTATATAGGGCTTTACTCGTTTTGTGGACCGAATCCGTCTGTTATTTTAGCTGAAGTCCAGAATGTCCGCTCTATTAAGGTATGTACCCTTAGGTAAGGATCATACGTGCCAGTGAGCAAACGGCTATGTACACCCGAATGGCATTGGCCTTAGTAGTTATCAGATAGAAGCTTGAGAGAAGTCATCAGGATTGACATCTAAGCCAAGATAACAATCAGACACTAACAGCAAGAGATTTAGGCTAACACAGGCTAAAGCGAAATTTGATACTAGTTATACAATATAGAAAATAGCCTCATAACGATAAGTAAATCTTTTCGTGTCGTGTAGAGGTTCTGTTTCCCTAATTCTTTTATAGTAAATCTTAATGCATAATCTGGTTTTAATATTTGGGAGCAAATTTACATCGCGTTTTAGGTCTTTGTTGTTTTAAAATGTGTCCAATCTGCAATGCGTGTTTTGGCAATACCAGTGAACGTAAATCTTTAGCGGTCGTCTTCATGTTATGTTGCTTTGACAGTGGTGCCTCCTATCAATGTTTCGACGACCTGCACCAATGTACTCTATGGCCCAAACACATGCAAATATGAGGATACAAAGTTCAACGTCCTTTGTTATTTGATCAGACAGGAGGTGTTGTAAGGATGTGAGTGGTATTAACCCGAGGTACCAGAAGTTAAGTAGTGCTGTTTCATACATGCTTGGATGATGTATGTATCAGGTAAACGGTTTTTGATGATTGTGTGATTTTGGGACTCCTAGCAGCTTGTTTGGAACTGTTGTTGGCGTTTTGTTGTTTTACCTTTTAAATGCAATAACTCAAGCTTGGGTTGGTGAATTTTCATTGTTTTACTCAATCACTCACTCAATCTCTCTCAAAATGATAAACTCGATCACACTAAATAACATGCTGATTTCCTTTATTCAATAATCAAATCTACGTACAATAACGCATCCATTGATAAGAATGCTAGAACACAGACTCGAAGTTGTTAACTGTGACATACTGGGGGGGGGGGATGCCACTTGATGTGTTCTTATGATGTACAGATGTTCCGGCATTACATGTTCCCAATGCTGCGGTAAGGTGAACATGATGTAAAGTTCATTACGGTATATACTAGTAACCAAGCTTATCCATCAATATTTCTACATTATACATAATAAGTACGCAGTTAAAACATAAACTAGTTGTCTAAAAGGCTTTTAGTCTCATTTTGGCTGCCTGGTAGAGATTAATACCAACTTCTTGTTTTTAGGTGGTGTAAAGGGGGTCAGAGGTCATGCTCTCAGTGTTTGCATTTCTCGTAGTACATTCCAATGATCGAAAAGTGCTGATATTTGTACCTAAAAGGACAAATTGGAGGTCTAGCCTGTCAATGTAAGTTTTCAAGAGTTGAACATTCAAGTAGGTGATTTTTGACAGCTCAGTTCTTAGATGTTCACCTTATAGTCCAACGGGAGCTGGAAATGGCGGCCTGTCCCCTACAGGAACCTTCCCCAGTAAAATTCCGTAATTTCCACACCTATACTCGTGAAACATTTGGCTGGATAAAAAGACACAAATCCTACGACCACCACTAACACTACTAAAGGCTTCGTTTCTTCATGATTAATTATCACTATTCTGTTAGAGAAAGTCTCTTGAGTAAAATAAACACTATTTTGACCGTGACTGGATGGTGCCCAATCTGTGTTGCTGTAACAACCCTCATTGGAAATGTCTTTGTATTTGCCTCTCCCGCTGTCTCTTACTCACTCCTTCTCTCCCCTTCCCTCTCTCCCTCTATAAGACAATTTAATCTGAGAGAGGTCACTGCCTTCTCCCATCACACGATTTGTATTGTGGAAAATTGTACCGATCACTTCGAAATGTTCAACTGTCACAACTGCAATGTATGTAGTGCTGACAAATCTGGACCTAATTTCTACTTAAAACTTTTTTTAAGCCAGCAACACTTGAGAGGCCGCCGTCGATGGTCCAGGCAAACATGGAAATATGATATTGCTACTAAGTTATTGTTATTGGAAATATCTTGATAATGAGTTGACAGGTGTGAAAACTCAATATGACATTATATTGTGTTGATTTGAGAAAAAAATTGTTAAGGCATTGCAAAATGTCATTCAAAAACCTTGCTCAGATTATTACCAAAATGTAGATATGAATGATATCTTGAGTATTTTGTCCTTTGGACATTGTCATCATGTGTAACATTTATGGATGACCTTTAAATGTATTAGTTTTTAGTTTGTAGATATTAAAATCTAGGATGTGGACATAAAGTAACTTTTCGTCTGGGAATCGTCATTTTGATTCCACAAAGGTTGGTTGGTTGGTTGGTTTGAAAGTTGATTTGTGTAGTTAAATCATATGAACCACGAAAATATCAAAATAAAAATTCAGGTAGGGCTGGCTACTTGCAAAAGGAGGTCTTGCCCTTTGTCTCATCTTTCCTGGTACATCACAAGGCGTCATCCCAAAATGTTACCAAGATGCCATTACAAACTTCATACTAAAGAAAAAACATCTTGGGTAAAATCTTATCCTATATTAGTAAAAACATGAGCAAATGTTCTGGATGGTATGTGAATCAATCTATCATTTTCAGCTCAGTTCGGACTTGAGAATCAACTTCCTGATGTGTCTTGGGTACCAACAACTGTAGCTCGTGAAATCCTACAGTAGAGTGAGCATAAAACCAACATGACGGTACCCAGGCAATGCTGTTATCTACAATCTTTGAAATATCACGTTTAGAGGTAACTTTTTTCATTCAAGTTGCTCATTCAAGAATGTGTATCTGTTCCGGCAAGAAATTTGTAACCAAAATTCAACCATCATCGAGGTACATCCAGAAACTTTGCTCAATTTTTCTACTTGTAATAAAACAAGGAAACATTTTAAAAAACCTTCTGGGGTATCTTAGCTAAAAAAAACATCACGAGCAAACGTCTTGGATGATCAACGTCTGGGGTATCTTAGCTAAAAAAAAACATCACGAGCAAACGTCTTGGATGATCATTGGTTGTATCAATGTTTGAACGTGTTTGATTATAAGTTTCAGCTTTAGGTGTAGGTCCACACCAATTCACAAGAATTGGCATAATCGTTTACAGATGCAACTTTTTTTGTGTGGCCCAAAGTAGGGAAAATTTGTAACATTTCAAGGGATAGTGCGCAATATTTCGTAAACACTGGCATACATACCACGTTGTGAATGTGGTCTAAAATCGAGAGACTTTATGTGGTTTATGTTACTATACTAACAATTATTTCAAATTGGTGGTATGATATTTATAAGATATTGTCATTTGTTTTTTGAAAGGAAAACATGAAAATGTAGATCATCCAAAACGTTGCCTGACATGCTCTTATAATGAAACTGGTGACTGTATCCAAAATTGAAGGCAAGGCGCAAACCACACATAAGCTACATCTTGACGTTAGGGGTGTTAACTGTAAACATGACGTCAGCCTGGCTAGCATGTGGTTTTCAGATCGCCTACTCTACTCTCCGTCCTTCAGACCGTGATAGGCCCACTCCCCCCTGCGGGAGCGCTTCTGCACGATGGCCGCGCCCAGCACGACAAGGGCGAGCGCCGCCAGGACACAGCCGGCAGCCAGCATCGCCCAGGGTGCACCGCGGCGTGCAGGGCCAGTCTCCTGGTCATCCACCAGGCGCACAGCGTGTTCAGCTAGGAAATAAAACATCATGGCGTCAATAAAAGTGTACGGATTCCATGTCAATCTATTTCCGTCTTTTAATGCACACCCACCATGTGTAATGCTGACTATTATTCTGCCTCGTACGTACACACACCAATGCTGACTATAATTCTGCCTACGTGCATAGACTTGTAATTAAGTTCTTCACTTTTTATTACAAGAAGATCAGTACAGTACATGTTGCTTCTTAGATTGTAATACAGCCAAAAAAGCCAGCCATACGAAAAGAGCATCGACAATTATAAAATCTAATCCAGTCCCTCCCTAATTTTTCTATAGCATAATAAAGAAAAGCACACTGATGTTTTCAAGGAAAATTAGTCTTATCAGATATTCCGACCTAGTTGAACATGAACATGTACCTTCTTTGTCATCATCCAGAACGATTGGTCCCTGGTAGATCATGTGACGTCCCCTCATGTCGACCTCTCCGGCAGCTCTTTTGCCCCTCCTGACACAGCCCTGGGGGAAAATAACATTTGTGGTGTCATTGAGACGTCTTTTATCTTTTGAAATATTAGCTAATATGGTCCCTACGTAAACCACCTTTTTGCTTTCAACTGTGCTGCCTGATAACTTCTACAGCAAATTGTCTACTTTGAAGCTGTCTGTTAACAGAGAAACGACATGTGTGTGGCGTTAAAGAAGGAAGATTATGAGTGAAAAAGTAGGAAAAACAAGGACTCGGGTACATTGACATGGGCAGGGTATTATAATAATGCGTCATGACCAGGTACAGAAGCACCGGTAAAAGCAGCCGGGCCAGTCCTTGAAAAGTACTTTCACTTCATTCTCTGTTGATCTAGGGTTGAACTATCTACATCACTACCATCAGCACTTTCAATACTACAATTATAGTGACTTGAGAATCAGACCTGTGCACATCGGGATCCAGCATCAGCGGCGTCACAGACCAGCACCTCACAGTGCACGTACACCGTCCTCACCTCCCGGATGAAGCGGAACGCCTCGAAACCGAACCGCTCCTTGCCGGGGTCGTCAACGTCGTAGGTCTTCAGCGTGGGGTCAGAGGCACAGCTGGAAGAGACGTAAAAAGAAAAATAGATTGAATTGCCAAAGATCCCAACTTAAATACACATTATCGTAATCATAGTGGAAGATGTGTAGGGATGCTTGCAGATGAATCAATGGCATCTGATTGTGCTCGATCAGTTGATGACACGTCGCAAAGAATACTCAGCGTGAATGATGTGTACATTATCATGATAAGATTTTGTGTATATTTGATGCATAAAAGTATGGTGTTAAGGTAATATAATATGTTCCCGCTAAATCCCTAATGAAATCCATAGTAAAGTAGCATCAAACGTTTCTGCCTACCCGTCCCTGATGAGTTGATCCTGCAGGCTGTCGTTGAGTGAAGGTGACATGGTGGCCTTACAGTTCAGCGCCAGTACGGAGAGTTTCTGCCCGTGTCCCTGTACCTCCAGCTGCATGTAGACGTGCTGACGCAGCCTGAGGTGGATGGGGTACTGGTCCGCCCGGTACTGCCTCTGGTACTGCCGGGTGGGGAACATGGAGAGCCGGACCTCCAGCTGACCGAACCCCTCCTCCGTGAAGTTCAGTCCGCCCGGGATGGGCAGGAAGGTCGAGTCCACCCACTCCTTACGCTCGTAGTTACATCTGTACGTATACGGAAAGCAACACATGCATGGATGCCTTCAATAGGAAATTGATTTTGAGGTAGCCTTCGGCCATGTTATCTTTGGACCAAGAGAATACTGCACGGACATCTTTTTTTGGTGGACCCAAGGGCACACCACTAGTCTGGCTGGAATTCTTACACAGAGAATAACATACCCCCCTTAACCGTCCTAAATATATGGGCTCAAATTCCGGAAAAAAATCTACGAGTAAACGCACTTGGATGTGATCCAGATGTTGCCCTCCCGGGTGATGACCCCGCTGCTCAGGTGGGTGCCCACGATGTCGATGGTGTTCAGGAACGTCACGTACTTCGCGCCGAAGGTCACCTGACGGGAGATTGTAGATTCTTTAGAATTTATATAGCTCTGGTATCATCAAGAATTAGGTACTGCAGAAATTGAGTTTCCAAGAGGCTTCAATATCAGTGTCTCTGGTGATTGTTATATGCCTTGGTATGCTCTTCGTTACTGTCTTTATCATCTGTATATCCATTATCACAAGTCTAAAATTTACAGATGTTCTGAGCACACATACCTCTGTTCCACAGTCGTACAGCTCTGTACGGAACAGGTAGTGAGTACCGTTAGTCGTGGCGCCACAGTTCCGGTCAGGCCTCCAGTGAAGGTTGTTCAGGTCGATGTCGGTCAGCTGATCCTCCGGAATCGACAGTTCCATGTAGTCGTTGCTGCAGGTGGTGGAAGCTGTGAAGAAAAAATGACATGGATAAGAACAGACTGTGTTGAAAGGAGACATGAAATGGCATCTTTTACCTTCATCCTAAAGGTTATGTTTTTCGTCTTTGGGTCTGTGTTTTTGTCTTTAGAGAACAGCCATTAGCTACTAGTTAGCAGAATGAAGAGATGACAATTTGGACAACTTGTGTTATAAGGTAAAGAAGGTAGCCAAGTGGCATTTATGCAAATAACTATAACGTAAATAAATAATATCTACCATAAGTAACAGCAGATTAATATGTTAGCTGTAACTTTAAGCGAAGAACATTCATTGTCATAAATGTATGTTTGAAGTAAAATATATGCTACACGACAACATATAATATTATATAATGTCAAAGTAACAGAAAGTGTACAAGAGCCTTGAATGATAAGTGCAGTTCTCGTGCATTTACGAGAAAAGGTCTTTAACATAAGGTGAATAACACATCAATATTCAATTGTCTTACCTGACAATTCTGATACAGGTGCGCGTGCACGTGCTATATGAGGAACAAAACACATGTGAATGATAATAAAATGAAATAGTTAATATATCATACATAATATCTTGCTGACTTAAGTCAGATCAAATTGTTGTTAAGATCAATACCATTCCGAAAGATCATTGTCAAATGATGAATTGCTTCTTTAGTTATTGGGGAACGTCTAAAGATTAAATTAAGACTGTTACTAAGAGTTGATGCTAAGAGTAATGTGAGGCCAAATCAAGACGATCGCAATTTGAACTGTCACATCAAGCTTCAGGAACTAGCTATCCATGGGTATTTAGGTTGGCCTGTAGGAATTGCATGTAGCAGTGGAAGTGACAGGCGTCACGTATTGATACGTTACGTACATAAAACTTACATGCCTCCAATGCCATAAGTATGAAATTCTCAGCATGAACCACTTTAGAAATATGTAAACGTCATGTGCTTTACCAGGCATAATTTTTACAAGCATATATCACAGGTACTTTCATCATACCTACTTTTTGCCAGGTTTCCTTAAATCATCAAAACTATACGTGCAGTTGCACTAATTTTCATTAGTGTTTTAGTTCAAAATTGCGTACATTAGAAAAAAGTAGGATAGAATAGTGTGTAGTGTGACAGGGCGTTTCCTTGGTTCTGAAAAGCTTGTGTAAGACACATTCAAGGGTCCCCATACCTGTGCAGGTCCTGTAAAGCGGTAAAGAACATCATATGTCAATAAACATGTTCGACTTACCGCATTGATGATACTCAGCCCTGCTGGTCTGTCCGAAGACTGCAATGTTAGTTGTATCCCAGTCAATCACGTTGCCATGGTAACTACAGTCCGCTGCTATTTCTGCTGGAGACAGCACGCGGTCCCAGAGGTTCACTCCAGACAGTTCTCCGGTGAAGGCCTGTTCTGCGTTAAATCCTCCCCCGACTTCGTCTTGGTCCTGACCGAGGATCCATGTTCCGCCTCTGCGCACCCTTCCTCCCACTTTCAACCCGGAACCCGAATCCCTCAGCACGCCGTCAGCGTACAGCTGCCAGGCTCCATCACTGCTGCGCCAGGTAGTACATATGGTGTGCCACTCACCGTCCCAAACTGGTAGGTCTGCCATTTGGATTTTGCTTTGGATGTGTAACTGAATGCAAAAAAATGACATGAGCCAAAAGATTTTAAAATATCTAGTTCACTTTGTACCATGGTATGGATAAAACATCTGTTTTCTCCCATGTTCGTCTCCTCCTGCCATTTCGTTAAACTGAAATTTCGCACGGCGGTAAAGTGGGCAAATACGACTAGCTTTTTCCTCATTTTTGTTTAATGCAGGCGTTTAATTTTTTTTTTTTTTAGGTTGTTTTATTTCCCTTTCATCCTAGTCAAAATTTTGTTTTTTTCATGAGAAAATAAATTCTTGTGCTTGACTAAACTATATATCAGGACATACTTGCACATAGTTTACACACATATCCAGCATAAGCAAGCAATAGACAGCAGAAGCTTAATATCAAAAATAGACTTACTTACTGT